CACACACACACACACACACACACACACACACACACACACACACACACACACCACACACACACACACACACACACACACACACACACACAGCAGCAGCAACACCACCACCACGATTGTCGTCGTCACCTGCGACTGCGAGTAGAAGTGGCGCATCCGGCGGCGAAATTCCCATCAGCGCAGACACATCCTCCTCGCTCGGCAACCTCGATGGTGGTGGTGGTGGTGATGGTGGTGATGGTGGTGATGGTGATGCTGGAGAATGGGTGGCTGAGTTTGCTTCAATTGCAGCGAGCTGTGCACTGAACAACTGACTCTGCGTGTGAATCATCTAAACAATCCAAGAGCAGTGGACACAATAACATCAAGTATGTGTGTGTGTGTGTGTGTGTGTGGGTGGGTGGGTGTGTGTGTGGGTGGGTGTCAGCTGCAATCAGCAAGCGACGATCTTCAAGCAACGATCACCGCACCAAGTTCATGGCATCGACAAGTACGCGTGGCAGTGGTAGATGAGCAACAAGCGTGCATAGAACAAGTCGAGGGCAGCCCAGGTCTCACACCACACACGAACCGTAAGGTGGTCTTCGATGTGCTCCAAGCACAGCGCGTGCGGCAGGCCCGTGTCCACAACAGCCTCAAACGCGTCGATCATTGACGCGACCAAAGGAGACGCTTGCACGCGCGTGCGAGATGCCACTGTGCCCGTGCGTGCAAGCGTGGCGCCACCACCAGCAGCGTCTGTGGCCACACCGAGCGAGGTCGGCGACGGCACAGCGCAAGTGGTGGCGGGCGCTGTTGTTGATGGTGGTGTGGAGCGTGGTGTGCTCGGTGCAAGCGGTGGCGCTGGTGTTGGTGGCACAAACTGGTCCGAATACGATGGTGGGAAGAGCGATGAGGAGGAAAGGCCGATGGGCCAGTGCTGCACACATGCATCTGGTCGAACCGTCACCACCTCAACATCATTTCTGGATTATTGGGGGAGGGGGTTGTTAACCACAGCAACACAAGTGGTGAACACGTGTTAAGAATGGAGAAGGGAAGGTTCTGTGGTCACCCACACACGCACACACACACACGCACACGTGTAAAACACGCACAAAAAAGCGCACACACGAACACACACAAACACACACACACACACGTGTAAAACACGCACAAAATAGCACACGCACATACACACACACACGAACACACGTCAAACACACACACACGTAAAACACGCACAAACAGAGGACAAGCACGCACGTGTCTGTGTTGATGATGGCGCATGACGCAACAGACACGGGTTCGCCAAAGATTCCAAACCGAACAAACGACCGCAACTCCTGCTCCTGTTGACACCAAACGCATGCACGCACACGAGCGCACAGTTAGCGAATGAACAGCCTGCGGTAACATGCAACCAGTGTGTGTGTGTGTGGTATACATGCGTGCAAACACGTGTGTACCAGGCTGGGCATGAAGTTTGGTCGTGGAAGCCCCTGCAACACCGCGCCCGTCACAAACGTGTGCGTGTATGTCAACTGCAGCGAGCGCCCCAGTGACCGCGTGAAGAGATGCTCCTTCTAATGGCGGGAGCGGATGGTATGATGACGAAGATGAGTGCTGCGCAATGACAGTGATGATGGTGGCACAGTGTCAATGATGATGATGATGGTGGTGTGGAGAGGGCAACAGACAGCAACACATGTACGCAAAGCAGGCTGAGCTTACATCGGGGCTTGCCCGCAGCGCCGCATGTGACATGGCCTGAAGACGTGACGACACAGCAGTGGACGACAGATCCGGGAACACACGCACACATTCGCTGGACCGGAGATCCACTTGCGTCATGTCCTTTGCACGAGGTTCACTGCCGGTCACAGAGCTGCCGTTGCACGCGCTCTCCTGACCACTCTTCAACTGCGCACCACCGCAGCCACTGCTATTGTTGCTGTTGCTGCTGCTATTGCCATGGCGGCTGCTATCGGTTGTGGTGGTGGTGGCATGTGCTTCTTCTCCCAATACACCGTCTTCGCCGACATCCATGTCCTCACCATCACCACCACCACCACTGTCACCACCACCACCATCGCCCTGCTGCAGCTGTTGTTCCGTAACGAGTGCGTGCCCCTGCGGTGCGACGTTCAACTCAAACACTTCACTGCAACGAAGGAAATACGTGATGATGAACAGAAACTGTCGCACGCGCTCCGGATCCTGTCCAACCACAATCGTCCGCGATATCCTGGCGTGTTGCGTATGTGTGTGTGTGTGTGTGTGTGTGTGTGTGTGTGTGTGTGTGTGTGTGTGTGTGTGTGTGTGTGTGTGTGATACTGACGTGAGGGCGTTGAAGGAGTGGGACAGTATGCGCGTTCGCACAAGCTTTCACAGCGCTTGCTTGCTTGTAGGCACAGGGCACACGGCTGTGTGCTGCAAACGAGACCTTGGTGGCGACGAGCACGTGCCGTAGAGATCTGTGAGCTGCGCCCACAGCGGATCGTATGGGTGTGCAGACGCCTGACGATGTGCACTCACTGCTCGAACGCGTGCATACACATACAAACACATGCATACACGTTGATTGGGGTAAGGTGAGGAGGCTAACGCAAGACAAGCAGTGCAATCACTCCCCTTCACACACACACACACACACACACACACACACAACAACACACACACACACACACACACACACACACACACACACACACAACAACACACACACACACACACACACACACC